AGGAGATGTGACTTCTGGAGGTCTGAGTATAACCATCTACCACAAACAATTATGCATGGCTTTTAAATATAAATATGGGAATGTGTTTAAATGAAAAAATAGGAAAAAATGCACTATGCACACACTAATCTGCAAATGATGGAATGGAAACCACAAAGCTCAAAGTTGAGTATTCTAAAAGACCAAATTGATAAGCTCCTAGTAACATTAATGTTTATAAGGGAAACAAAATACAACTTACAAATACAGTAATATCTGGAATGAAAGGGGAGATATTACTACAGATCCTACAGGTGTTAGAAAATAAAGGAATGTTGGGCACAACTTTATAGAACTAAATCCAACAATTACAAAGGAAGTGAACAAAATCTGTGCCTGTATATACAATATATAAATTATACCTCACCTAAGATATATACTAAAAGAGCTTTGGTTCAGCCTGTATCTTGTTGTCATACAGCATCTTAGCCTATCCTCAGGTAAAAGAAAAAGTCATGACCTATATATATTATAACAAATAATTATAGTGTGTTGAAGAAATTCATGATTGTAAAAGGACCCTTACAGCAAAGAGCCCCTAATCTGTTTTCTGTTCACTGCATTGTTTCTTTGTAGTCAACAACTGGAACCATAAGGCCATCTGGAAATGTTTGAGAGTAGCATTAGTGGTATTAAATACTGATATGTGTTTATAAGTTGAAACTTCAAAGCCAACAATGGCAAGGCATTTGAGAAATGTCTAATTCCACAGAAGCTTTTAAAAGGGTGCACAGTGCAGATCTGATGCTGGGTTATTTTTGTTTTTTGGTTTTTTTTTTTTTTTTTTTGGTTTTTCTCCGGTACCTGGAACTGAACTCATGACCTTGCGCTTGCCAGGCAGGCGCTTTTGCCGCTGAGCTAAATCCCCAGCCCCTACTGGGTTATTTTTGAGTGGTGGTGGAGGTTGCTTTTACAGAACAAAAATAGTATTGACATTGTATAACCCCAAGGATTTTGCAGTGGGAGCATCAGTAGCAGCCTTAAAAGCCTGAATTGCTTCTTAATGTGTGTGCATAAGTTAGTCAGCAAATATTATCAAAATGTCACAATGCAAGTAGAATTTCAGAAAGTAATCTTCCTGAAGTATAGAAAACTCCCCAGGACAACAAAAAGTCCAGAAGACACTGTGACTGATTCCCCCACCCACTGCCCCTAGAAGTCAGTGTAGCTAAGTGCATGGCATAGACTCAAGCAATAGTAGTGGCAATGAATGAATGATGCATCCAAAGTGGAACCATTTATTTAGTAATCACACTGCCCATCCGTAAGTGTTGTGGGGGTTGCAAAAGTAACACAAGACATCTGGCCTGAAAACCCTTAACTTCTAAGCAGGAACACTGGCAGACATGTGAAACCACCAAGAAAAATAGGACCTTTTAATAGCAGCCTGTCTTGTAGGATTCCCAGCCAGTCTCGTTTCCCAGGAAGATTACATTGCATTTAGCAATCACTGAGTTCCCAGCGAGGTTCTTATCATCTAGTGAAAGATCTCGCTACCAATTTTCTCGGTTTCTAAGAAAGAATAAAGAGACCTGTATTAATAGTTCTAGTGTCCCCGAGTTAAAACAGAGCCACAATTCCCATGAGAAACCATTGCTTTTGTTTGTGTAGACCTTGTCGGTGCTTAGGGAAGGGGCAAAGGGATAAGAAGGTGGAGACATGAGTCACATGATCTCTAAGATGTTGTTATATCAGGGAAGCTGCGGTAACTGTAACTAGTTCATATCTTGCCAGACACAAAGCATCAAGAATGACATTTTCCAAAATAGTCCTTGCTTGTTCTGGTGTCAAAAAATTTAAAAAGCTCAAGCAATACTTGTGAAAGAAAGGAAATAGGCTTACAGAAAAATACCCAAGTTCCCAGACTTTACTTGGCAGGGAAAAAGGAGAGCAAAGCCAAGGAACCTTTTCCACACCCCCAATGTGCCTTTTTAAGCCCTCTTTTCAAAGCTTTAGTCTTAACACGGTATTCTAGTGTTAATGTTACCAAATATCCCAGGCCTCACTCACCTATGACCAAAGAATAAGATCATATTTACTTTTAATACCCAGTCTTTTCTTGCGTAATTGTCAGAAATGAGCCTTCTTCTCCATAGGGTCTCCCGGCTATTTTGAAAGATTCTGTAATGCTATTTATGTATGCTCAGGAATAGACTCTGATTTCCCTGTCATATCCTCACCCTCTTGGCACCTTGCTACTGCCTCTGCTGCTGGCACCCTCATGCAACTGCCAATGCATAGGCCAACATTGCCCCCCAGCCAGGTGACTGCCGGTGCCCCCCACACACACACACATGCGGTCTTGGTGGACGACACACACTTGTCATCTTTATCTCTCCTTCTAAAGCATCAGATATTTCCCTTTCTCATCACCAAAGATTTAAAATTAAACTATGCCTCTTTGGTGGACAATATTAAAATATTAGAGGTACTGTCAGACGTATAACGCAGAGAGATTGGTTTTTAACCACCTCAAGGGCCCAGACTTGCCCAATTACCAGTCAGCTTCTCCTTAGCCTTCCGCCATATGGCCAAGTAAAGCTTATCCCGTCTCCAAAACTGACCTCTTCCTGTGATGTTTAATGGAGACATCTATTCCCACCACCCACAACTTCAGTAAATATTTGCTAAATGTCTGTTATGTTCCAGGCACTCGAATAGACATCGAAGATTTAGTGGGGACCCAAAAAGAGATGCCCGGCCCTGATGGCATTTAAAGTGTAGAACCAGAGGGAAAAAAGAAACTACACAAACAATTACATCATCAAGTATTATTAGTTATAAAATGGCCTAATTTCCATGAAGCAAAAATTATGGGTGCCATGAGAAAGTCTAATCTAGGGAGATCATTTGAATTGGGGAAGAGGAACAAGGCCACTGGGAGAAATTGACATTTAAATTGGGACTGAAGCCTGAGTAGGAATGAGTCCTGTGAAGAGCTTCTCAGGCAGCAGGGACGGCCGGTGTGAAAGGTCTGTCAGAGAAAGGGCTTGGGAAGATCAGAGTAGCTGAAGCAAAGAAAGTAAGGGTAGAGAGGTACAAGATGCGGCTGAATGGGGAGGCAGAAGCCATGCTATATGGGCATTGCGAGGCCATGGCAAAGACTGGATTATCTCACGTATAAGAGGCTGTGATTGGAGGGTTTTGAGCATGGGAGAGAATCGCATGATTTGATGCGTATTTTAAGAAGGCTCTGGCAGCCGTACAGAGAGTGAAAGGAAGAGGAACAAGTGGACAGAGGACAGGGGATAAGCAACAGAAGGTGGCTCAGGCTACGGTGTTGACAGAAGAGATAGAGAAGGAGTCCATTTGTAGGTATGTGTAAAGTAGAAGCAGCACACTTTGCTGATGGTGGATGTGGAAACACGGAGAGAGACAGAAAAGTCATCTAAGTAGCAGAACAAGGAGGCATCCAATTTCTCACCTGGGCAGCTGGGTATGCGATCTAATATCTGTGCACTAATAAGACAACCAGATCATAGTATATGTCCCAAAGTTTGAGTGAGATGGCCTTAAATATCTCACCTGAGAAGCATCAGAAGCCCGGGGACAGACCTTGACTGAACCCTTTTCAGTTTATCTTTAAAATTTCCAACCACCCGGTAATGTAGCCGCACCTATGGCTGGCCACCTCTCCTATTAGGTTTTACAGTAGGCTAATTTTTCATTAAAATTTCTCCCCATGCAGTTGCCAGGATAAACTGGTAGTGTTGCGTTCACTGATTCGGTCATTCAGAGCCTGGCACACTGTAAGTATCCAGCTTGCGTGGCCATTGTCTTCGCCGATGCAGGTGTTGAGAGCTTACCATTTCTCCTAGACAACTCCAGGCTGGGAGGTTGCTTTACAGAGTAGAAAGCTTCAGTTGAGCCAGACTTTAAGTCTCTGCTCTCCTATTTAACCTGAGGCCAAGTTTTTTCACCTGTAACATGGGGATACATACCCATGTTGAGTGATTACAGTGAGGTGAAATCAGAAATCATGGAGCAGTTCCTTGTATACAGTGGATGCTCGGGAAGTGCTAAGTTCTTTTTCTAATCAGGAAAAAGTTTCCCCTTCTAATTTAAACACTATGTCTCTACCCAATGCCCTTAGAGACACCCAGGTGGATATAAGGCAATTTCAAACCCTTCCATAGGTTTATGAATGAGATTATATTGATGAATAAGTTTTATGAATAGTTATGTTTTTCAGAAATTACACTCTCTTGCCTCTTTTGACACAGTATGCAACTATTTAAAAGCTAACGCAAACATGGGCATCTTACATTCTAAGAAGAAGGGCCCGCAAGGATTTCCTTTAGCCTCCAAACCGCTCACATTCTCCACTGCCAGTTGCACTTTTTCCTTTCCATGTCTCACTTCCTCTTCCTCCCCCCACTGTCACCTTGAGCAACCAGAGAAAGAAAACACAGGCACCAGCCCACAGAAAACACTCATGGTTGTCCTAGAAAGCGTCGATTCCTCGGGCTTTTATTTTCAATGTTGAATGCATGGTTTCATTTGGCACAACTGCGCACATAGCAGTCCCGGGCGCCTCCTGTCCCCACCGCATCCCTGTGGTGGCCTTGCCCTTGGTACTTGGCTTTCTCTGGCTCACAGGAACTATTCACGTCTTTGCCTGGGGGCTTGTGTGTCCCCTTGGTGGCAGTTGCATTTTAAGATTCATTTCCAGTATAGAATGAAAACTGTCCCTGTTGTCGGAAAGGAAAATTTTCACAAGCAAGTCAGGTTCCTGCAGCAGTGTCTTTTACTCAGTTCTTGAAGTCCTGGTCATCCTGTGCCGTGGCTGACCCTGCATGGGTAGTGTAATACAAAGACTTTCTCTCTGGTGACTTTTGGGGGACTCTTGGGTAATACATCAGTATCCTTGGAACTAAGACCAGTACATATCACTATCAACAGCATACCAATTTTACTTTAAAATGCTCTGCTAAGACTAACAGATTATCTTTGGATTTCAGGGAACAGATTCGTCAAGGCCTAGAAGAACTCCAGAAAGTTCTACCAGGAGGAGACACGTACATGCATGAAGGATTTGAAAGGGTAATGACAGTTTTGAACTCCAACTGTGAAGAGTGTTATTGAAATACCAACAAAGGATGGCTCATGAGATAAAGCACATGCATTAAGACAACTGAACAACACCTTGTAGCAAAAGAGTATAATTTTTGTCCTTATAAACTTGTACACTATGTACACTGATAGCTGTATCCAACGATCTAAAGAAACAATTTTTTTTTCCTTCCTTACTGACACTGATGGTTTGTTAACTGATGACTGGATGGTACTCATGAATCACAAAACACACAAGTCCCTTCAATTCCCAAAGTGACCTTTGCTGGATCGCAGCATCAGAGGTTGAGACAGAATTCCAGTGAGTTTAAGAGGAGCAAGTGCAAGGTTCTGAGAAGAGAGACATCCATCCATGTTCACATTACATGTGAGAATAATTTTACCTGAATATCATCCACTGACATCACCGAGTGAGGCCTGGGTGAATTACATAAAGAACCAAGACTTGCCCTGGCTGCATATCCAATGCCAGCCTACTACCCAGTTTGCTATTTGGAGTGGTACACAGTGGTTAAATGTCTAATGGCTTGTTCATGTGTTTTTCAGGCCAGTGAGCAGATTTACTATGAAAACAGTCAAGGTAAGATGAGAGAATAAACTACCATTATGAAATGCATTGTGTTTTCCTCTGTTTCTGAAAAGGTGCCTCAGTAATTTCATGTTCTAAACTGTGTGTTCAATATTGTCAATAATCTTTGGACACACATCTCATCACAGAAAGAGGCATAGAAAGACAGCATGTTCCAAGTCAAATTCTACTGCCCTGTTAATGTCAAGTTATACTATAAGAATGATTAAGGTTCCATTATGAACACAAGCTGTAATTCCCATGAATAATTTTGCATGCTGAATTCATTAAATTAGTAAATACTTGGATTGGTTACTAAAGTCTTGGATTTTAATGTCAAATCTAATTATCTTGTCCTCTGATCTAAAAGCATCTTCATTAATATAAAATGGATGTTATTTAAATTGTTTGGTCTAGACTTTTCTTCATTTAAATGAAAGGATACAAAGGACATGCTTAGTAGAGTATTAGTAATAGAAATAACTATCATTATTATTTTAGCTATTATTACCACAACTTTCATGGTTATTATTTCTTTATCTCAGACAAATCTTTTAAAAGATTACACTTGATATCAATATGATAGGGGGGAAGTAAGGATTTTCCTCCTTAGTCTTGTAGAAATGTCTACTTCCTGTTTGATTTGAACTGCACCAAATAGAGCAGGCCCACTATCTATGAAAACTTGCTAAAATAAATCAGCTATGATATTGTCAGTAGAAGTCTAAGTATCACTGAAAGAATTCTAGTAGGTTTAGTCAACTGCTGTAATACTTCCAATCAGCTTGCAAATCACGATGATGATTAATTTTTGCCAAACTGTCTTCAAAGGATAGTGTTGTGGTCAACTACAGCATGTGAGAAGGACTAAAAACCCCAAGTGACAGGGTTTGCTCTCAGGCCAGGATGATAGTCTTACGGACTACTCACAGGAAACAGTCACACTTGGCTCACTGGAAGCGTTCTTGTTCATTGGTTAGGAACTCCTATCCATTCGACAAGCTCAGATTCAGACATTTGTTGAGATAAAGCTAAGAAACCTGGAAGCCAAAAATTCTCTCTTTAATCTGTCTCTGTGGAGCCATTCTTCATGCCGGAGCTGCATCCAGGCCCCAAAGAAAAGTTGGTGATTCTCACAATATTGACTTTAGGTAGTTGAACTTCTAGGTGACAAAATCCTAAGGCTGAGAGAAAGTTTCCTGGGTGAGGCAAGAAGACTGAGTTGGTCTGTGTTCTCTTGAGCAGGATACCGGACAGCAAGTGTCATCATTGCTTTGACTGATGGGGAACTCCATGAAGATCTCTTTTTCTATTCAGAGAGGGAGGTAAGCAATGGTTTGGCCAGTGTCGAAACACATACCTGGGGACTTGAGGGTATAGCTCGGTGGTAGAACATGTTCTTAGCCTCCCTGTGATCCTAGGTTCCATCTTCTAAGCCCCACAAAAAACAGAGAAACGAGGCTTCTCCCCAAAAGGTTGTACTTTATACTCAGGCGAAGTTATAAGTACTGTCTATGAAACTCATGAATAACGTTTCATATGCAAAATAATAATAATTCATTTTCAGAACTGAATTTTCATGCATTACATGTAATACATGTTTCTCCCTTTCAAAATTTGTGCATGTTATTCTGTTTTGAAGGATGAAAATACATATACCTTATCTTTACCAAAGGCATTGTATTGCTTTAACAGTTTTAAAATGTTATGTATCATTTTTAACAGAAAGCATTGGTACCATTTTCCCTTTATTTCCACTCCTATTTTCTACTAAATCAAGAGAAAGGGAAAGAATTGCTTGGAATACATAAGAGCCAGTCTTGTTAGAACATCCTAATCATTGAGACTCTCTAAGAGCCAAAATTGAGTGGTAATCAGTTGCAAAGTTAGTTATGATCTCCCTTCTGTATTTCTTCTTTCCTTTTTTATCTTTTTAAAAATTACTTCTGAATGCAAGTCAAAGAATTCTATAAGTGTAGCCTCTAGTTTGTTTATTTGGACTTAGAAAAAGAAGGGTACTCCAGAACTGCAAAGTTCTGTTATACTTAGGAAATCCTTTCCGTTTAGATTTAAGGTATATGTACCCCCGGACTAAGGAACCAAGTTTAACCATGGGACTGTATTGGAGCTTTGTGAGTGACACAGGTTCATTCAGGCCAAAGTAAAAAGAAATACAGGAGGGAGAAAGATGGGCAGGGAGGGAGCTCTGGGAGATGTTAATCACAGTGTTACACTTACTCAGACTCTTAATTGCTCCTTAAACTCTGCTGTCTCCATGAGTGCGAGGTATATACTCATTCATTTGGAGGTAGCTGAGAGCTTGGCATGTGCCAGGCGCTTCGCTAGACACTAGAGACACAGAAGGGAGTGACACACAGTTGCTGCCTTCATGGGTCTTACCATGAAATCGATCCTGCTTTTATTATTCCTTCTCCCACTAGTGCAGAGGATGCCTCAGTGCAGGGAAGTACACAAGTCGTATGACACACTCCCCCGAGCATGTGGGAAAGCATACATTTCTATATTCTAAGGTTGAAACTATGTGGTGATAATGCCAAATGGCTTATTTGGGTGCTAAATAATGGTCAAATAAAGTAAAAATCCTAATAAGGAAAGAACTGAAAATAAAATAAATGATGAGTGTTGGTGGTTTAAAATAAGGGTCAGTAGGAAGGAATTTTAGGTATGGTCCATACAGACTGGGAAAAATATTCAGAATGTCAATGTTAGTATAGAAAGCTTTCTGAAAATAGAAAACTCAAGCTTGAGATATAAAGAAATTGAACCGTGCCATTCTTAATAATTCTACAGAAAGCCTGACTCCAGGAGAAACATCATAGAGCTATTGCAGATCTAACTGGTGTTAGACTGACCCTAGACATTTGACTTTTCCTGAAAGCAGCAGGAAATATTTCCAACATGAAGGAGGAAAAAGGGCATATGTTTCTGTCCTTTCCAAAATTCAGTGTTAGACATAAATGGGTTTGAGCACCAAGGTGGGGAGATAACACAATTCAAATCAACATGCACATATTAAGCACTTACTATATGCTCACAATCATTTATTGAGCACCAACTATAGACACCAACAACTTCTGATTTCTATTCTATAGCACAGGAGAACCTGGAAAACAAATATCAGAACCTTTAATAGATCAAATATTAAAATCAAACCAAAACCTGGATGTTATTGTGCTGCCCTTTCAATGATAAATTGTACAGAAGGTCATGTGTTCACCTATTCAAATATAGACCAACCAAAAACAAGTTTATTCTACAGGAATGAAAAAGGCCTTATTCATAAAGAATGCTGACATACATGAGCACCTATATGGGTCTGGGCCTCGTGTGAGGTCCTTAACACATGTTATCTCATTTAATCTCCCAAACACTGTACAGAGGAAAGCCACCCATCAAATTTGATATATCTGGTTCCAATGGCTACAATCTTCTGTGCTACTATGCTGCCTTTACAAAGAAAAGTGTGACATTAAAAATCCATTTGAGGGTTAGAAGAGGAACTGTCTCGACATTTCCTACTGGACTAATCACTCTCTTCCAGGCTGTTGTGGGTTATGTTAAAGTGTGATGTTAAGTGGAATGTGAGCCTCATAGGAACAGGGATTGCTTTCTTCAGTGTGTTACCTGGCAGAGTTGGCGCTCAAATACCTGATCGTTGAAGTTAGCCTTTCCAACAAGAGTGCTTTTACCACTGCCTCTCTCTAATGTCCTTTGTCTCTTTGACACAGGCCAACAGATCCCGAGATCTCGGTGCCATCGTTTACTGCGTTGGTGTGAAAGATTTCAATGAAACACAGGTATGATTATGGATATTCTTAGGTTTGGGGACATACTGACCTCATGCATAATGAAAACCCTGTGCATTCCATACGGAGGACACATCATCAAGATAAATATCCCTCAGATAGGCTATTTTTCCAGAAATGCTATTCAAGAAGGAATCACTGGTGTGTAAAGAAGGTGAAACCATTTTCTGAAGTGCTAGGGGTCTTCAGCACAGACCTTCCAAGCCGTGTCTTTCGCAGATGACTTTCCCAGTAAGAGTAAATTGAGAAGATCTGGGTTATTTTGAACACTTATTTTCTTTTCATTTAATTTGACAATTGTATTATTATTTAAATGATACATATTCCCTTTGCCTATGAAAAACCCAGCACATTTTCAATTCAAAACATGGAAAGAATTGGACAAGTGAGGCAAAAAGTCTACACAAATACATAGAAACCACTTTTCTGGAAATCTACTAACCTACATAAATGTTCTTCAGTGGAGTTCATGATTCCTTTTTGTTATAATGACATAGGGAAATGCTCATGCTACGTTGTGAAATGAATAAAATAGGATTATAAAGCCGTGAAAGGAGTATATGCCCTCTTAGACTAAATAGACATGTATTTGCACTGAAAAAGTATTAAAGACTGTATATTTCAAATTGTTAATAAAGACAAGTAGAGAGAGACCACAGATATGGAAGGATTACAAGTGCCTTTTAATTCCAACTCTCTTGGACTTTTTTAGGTTTTAACAATGAGCATATGTTATTTTTGCAGTCAGTAAAAACAGAAAAGGGCACTTTTAATTCTGTACACACTGGCACTGACTCTGGCTGTGGCAATCGCAGAGCTACACAAAGATTTTGGGTGGAAAAACTCACAGATTGGGTTCTCCTTGCTCTTAGTCCTCTGCTCCATAAAGTAAAGCCACAGCAAGACTCCTCTCCTCACGCACGGTTTGGGTGAACAGGTGGGGTCCCTATTCATTGGCCTCACCCAACACCAAAGCCTGAATTTATTTTTTAAATTCCTCTGAAAGGAAACCTGAGTCTGTTTTATTCAAATAAAGTGGCCAACAGGAATTTGGGTGAATGGGAGAAAAACGAGCCAATGGCCTGTCCCCAAATCCATAAATATACCAACCCTTGCCAAATATTCATCCAGCTGGGTAATCTTACCTCTGCTTCCAAGGAGAAAAGTATTAAAACAAATGTAAAAGCTGGAGCCGCCCCTCGGGCCTGCTCCAAGGAAGCCACTGGTAAGCTCATTACCACTGCAGACCCTTCGGAGAGGGCCCTGAGCCCAGCGAATGCCTCAAGGTCCTCCAGGTTCTAAATGGAGGTGGGAGCCCCAGATGCGGCAGCTTTATTTCCTTCTCTTCATCCTTGCCTGATGTGTCTCCGTGTATGTTTGTGTTTGCTGGGTTCGCAGCTGGCCCGGATTGCGGACAGTAAGGACCACGTGTTCCCCGTGAATGACGGCTTCCAGGCTCTGCAGGGCATCATCCACTCTGTGAGTAGCGCGCATCCTGCAAGGGGGACAGCACGCACTTTCTGTCCCCAGTCCGCCATCAGTGCCCTCATCCCTCTCGCCGAGGCTGATGTTTTTCTCCCTGACAGAACATTCCTTTGTGTCTCTTTGTGTCTGTGTCCCCTGTTTCCTTCCAGCCTCTCATGCTGTTCCTCTCCTCACACTCTGCCAGCTCTACCCAGCAAAGGAAAGTTAAAAGCTGACATGGACCCTGTGTGGACAGTGAGCCAAACTTCAGGTGGCATCTCAGTTCTCATACCTGGCAGACTGGTGGCTGGTCATTTGCATTGGACCAACCCCACTTTCCCAGCTGTGACTGCACACAAGCTGCCTTTGGAGTATTAGCAGGCCGAACCTGCGTTACTTGCCCAGCAGAGGTGACTCAGACCCCCTGAAATCACCTGGAACACTTGCTCCCTGGGTCTTTAGTCTGAGGTGCAGGCTGAGCTTCCGTGCTCTCCAGGGTTTGCGCAGTTACCATCCCTCCCTCCATATATGCATGGCTTTTACTTGGACGGTGAGTGGGGACACTTGCTTCTGGGGCCTCACTTCTCCACCCTCCATGTCCAGGCCAGGCCCGTGGCTGGAATATTGGATGCTGTGGCCTTTAAAGCCTCAGCCTAGAAGCCTATGCATGTGCTGTACCTGTAATAATGCCCACCTGTAGGTAGGACCAGCCAGGCATCCTGCGGTCATCAGTGGGAGCTCACCAAGCTCCAGACTTGGGGTTCAGGGTACAAATTCAAAGCTCAGAGGATTATTGCCCTCCTAAGGGGGTCTTGGTCTAGGGGTTACTGGCTGGGGCCCCAGTATCTTTCCCAGATAGACTTAGGAAGCCCCAGCATGGCTGTGCCTCTGTGTGGCCTCTGCGCTCCCCCATGGATTGCTAGGAGCTCCAGCAGAGTGGAAAGCAGAGGAAGAAGGAAGCTGAACTTGGGAGTTGATTAGCAGAGTTTCAGTGCCAGCACAAGCACTCGCCACTTATAGATCTTTGGACACTTGTTTCTTGGCAAAAAGGAATTGATAAGGTTGAAATTTGTTTTTGAGGATTATTGCCAAGAAACAAGTGACATATCCACTATCCTTCCAGGCACATAATAGGTACTCAACGCACATGAGTCATTTCCTCTTCCACTTCCCATCCTCATCGTGTGATGGGCATTAATATCAGCTTCCTCTGAGCCTCTCAATTTTCTAGAATATGCACAAAAATCACCTGGGAGTCATGCTTGTAATACCAATTCTTAGACCCTTTCCCAGAAGATTCTGTTGCAGTCAACTGGAGATGCATCCAAGGAATGTGCTTATTTTGAATCTGCATTTTAAAAAAATAAGTGGGCCAGGCCAGGCCCACTTTTAGAAAAATGATACATGTGGCTCTGAGTTTTGAAAATTGTGAAAAAAATTCCTGCATCAGATAGGAAATTCTTGGGCCGGGGATGTAGCTCAGCGGCATAAGCACTTGCCTGGCTAAGCCTGAGGTCATGAGTTTGATTCCCAGTACCAAAAAAAAAAAAAAAAACAGATAGGAAATTTTCATCTTATCCACTGCATGTAATCCCAGCACTTGGGAGGCTGAGGCAGGAGGATCATTGCAAGTTGGAGACCAGCCTGGGCTACAAAGTGAGCTCAAGTTCAGCCTGAACTGCATAGTAATACCCTGTCTCAAAAAGACCAAAAAAAAAAAAAAAAGGGGCCAGGTATACTTTTAGAAAAATGATATATGTGACTCTAAGTTTTGAAAATTGTGAAAAAAATCCTGCATCAAATAGGAAATTCCTATCTTCAATATATGCAAATGACAATTATTTTATTCAAGATGTATTTGTTGACAAGGAACAAAAACCCGCTCAAACTACCTTGACCAAAAACTGGGAATTACTGAAAGGGTAGAGAAGTATTGGACCCAGTGATGGGTCCACAAGTGAGGGAACCCAGCTTTACATTTCTGGGGTCACTGTGGGGCACATATGATAATATAAGCAATTCAAACTAAAATATCATATAAAACAACAACCCAACAATGTGAAGCGACTAAGCAGGATTTGGGGCTGATGATGCAGCCTCCTAAAGTTCAGAGGTGGATTCTTCTGGGTGGGAGCCTTCATGAGAACTTTGCACAGATCGGAATCACTGAAAGATCTGGGGATTGGGGTGGCCATTGCCAGAGAAGAGATGGCACCATCTTGGCCTCTTTCTCAGAGCACATTTGGGACAACAGTGATAACATCTAACTGTCTGGTAGGAGAGTTTCAGGAGTAATAGAAAACAAGACTGAACACCAGATTGGAACAAATTTGCAAAAGCCTTGAAAGGGTTTTGACTCTAGCTTTCAGGTAGTGGGTAGTATCACTGGAGCATTTTTTAATTTTTACTTTTTAATTATCATGTAAGAAATGTACTTCTTAATGGTATACAGTGTGAGATTTCAATACATGTATACGATGTGTACTGATCAACCCAGGGTAATTCATGTTTCTAGCACTGTATCATTTCTTCATTAATCTTCTTTAATCTCCTCTTTTCTACCTCTTCATAAAATAACTGAAACATTTTTTTAACACACAAGAGGTGATATTTGAGAAGAGTTATTGGAAGTGTCCATGTTACATAGGAGCAAGATTAGAGACGCCAGAGGCATTAGCCCAGTCAGGAGGCTATGATAGCAGACCTGCCTTCAGATAGCTGGATTCTAAACAAGGACAAATCTTTCATCTGTTCAAAGGTTCTTATGAGCCACTGACTAACATGATTCAAGAGCTGGTTCCTACACAAACAATTAGAATCTTTTTATCTGTGTAAAGTAGTGTTGTCCTTGAATATTTTAGCCTTAACAACTCACCCAAGCTCAACATGAGCCCGGATGTTTGTAAAGCTCCCCTCACGCTCAAATGGAAATAACTCCAAGGATATGTTAGAAGTTTTAGTGCAACAGTGACCCAAAAAGGGAAGAAAAATAATTTGAGACTTCAGTCTCCAGACTTTTAGCTAAATGATGACATTCTTAGGAGCTTTTATCTGGAATTTATACTAGTGGTTTTGATCTTGCCAGTGCTCAAAACTCATGTTTATGGCAGTTGTTAATTGGTTTGCTTGGACAGAGAAACAAGGAAAAGCACAGTAGAACTCATCTTTCTTAAATCAGACAAATAATTATGCCTAAAAGTTGGCTCTTTTTAAGAAGTAGGTTCGTTTCTCCTTTATGGTATTGAAAAGAAAGCCCTCATCTTTTCTCTCTCTGAAGTATCTGCTCTAGCTTGTTCCTATGGATACTGTTCAGCTGTTTTCTCATAATAAAGTAGGACTGGCTTAATTATTCAAAATTAAGATTGCAGAGCAGCTTCTAAGAAATTCACATGGTTCATAAAGTTTTCTGCCCATAAAGACTGTATCTTCAAACCAGAAATTAAGATACAGGGACTAATATTTACTAGTTGATCAAATATTCATTGAGATCCTTTCATGGCAGGTTCTGATCATTCAGTTACAAGTGAATTGGGTGGAGGCCCTGACCCAGTGGACTTTATGATCTAGTAGGAAAGACATGTAAAAACAAGTAACTAAGTGTATAATTTAAATTGTGATCACTGGTTAAAGCAAACAGCGTATCCCAGAGATTAAGAGTAAATGGGTTGACAGAGAATGCAGACTCCTGTGAGGAGATGACCTAAAGGATAAAAAGGAACAGTCCATTGGGAGAGCATGGATAGAATGTCCTTGCAAAGCATGATCCTAAAATGGTGCATAGGAGAAGAAAAGAGAAGTACTCAAGGTGGAGAATGACAGAGGACAAAGAAGCAGGTCGACTTGAAGGCCACAGTATTTCCTCTCAGGGCAGTGGGATACAATAGCCAGATGCAAAGTCTGACAGTAAAGCAACCTTGCAGTCATGGCTCAGGAAGTCTTATCCATATCCCCTCTGGGTGATGAATAAGCAGACATTCAGAATCAGTGGTAATAGGGTCTGTGCCTGTGTGAAAAAGAAGAAAAATCCTGATTATTAAGCATCTTTCCACTAAGCATTTTACCTCATAGCCTCTCTCTGAAGAAGGATTTATTATCTCCATTTCACAAGTGAGGAAATTGAGTTACAAAGGATTGATCAAGTGGAGAATTTGAACTCAGGTCTGGCGCCAGAGTCTTACTCTTTCCCTGATACTTGAATGTGAGTGTCTGAGGAAATGAAATACCTAGGATTCCCAGGCGCTGATTACAGGGATGATTGCCCAGGCTGATGAACTCAGACCCCTGCCTCTCTGCTGCCTCAGTCTGATGCCTCTCTTGGTCTTTTCCCTATTTTGTAATCCTCTCACCTTTAAGAAAGCAGCCCTTATATGTCAGATTTATATAATGAGTTATTTTTTGAAGCGCTCTCACTTGTTTTCCATTTTACTTTCTCCTCTGTGAAAGACAGGGAAAAGGCAGAAGGAAATCGGCAGTTGTAGAGAACTCATTTTGAGACCATAAACATTTTTCCTTTATCCCACATAATATTATTGTATTTAAAAACCATACATGAGCTGCACCTGTAGCTGTAGCTCAGTGGTAGAGTGCTTACCTAGCATGTGTGAGGCCCTGGGTTCAATCCGTAGCACACTAAACAAGCAAACAAACAGTACATTGCCCTTGAGTAAAGATTCTCTACCTATTTTATAGGCAAAGAAACCAAATCCCAGATAACCTGTCCAAGATCACACAGCTCAAAGACAGAGGCAGGGTAAGAATTAGGCTTCATGACTCCAGAGCGCATTCTTTCTCCTACCTGTTTCCTAGGAAGATCAAAAAAAAAAAAAAAATAGAATCTATATCTCACCATGTGCCGGGCACTGTGCAAATCAATGTAGATAATCATGTCATCACATCCTACCAAGCACCATGTGATGCAGATGTGATTACCCTTTCTATAAAGTAGATACTACAAAGCCATGCAGTTCAATAAGCAGTGATCAGAATAGACTAGGCCTTGCTCTAACGACGGGAAT